ATCCGGGTTAACAGAACTCGGGGTGCTACACTTTCAATGTGCTATGTCCCAAACAGAATTTGGACGTCAACACTGCGAACATGTTTTTTAATCAAATTTACAAAATTAGTAACAAATAAAATATATAATAGACTCGTTTAAAGGAACTTAAACCTCCAAAAAAAGATAAAAAAAAAACCAAAGTTTAAAAGTTGGATGAAAATGAAACGGAGAAAGCCATATATGTAAATTTTAGAACAGATCATTTGTCTACAAGCAATAGCTTTCCAGAGGTTTCCAATACAGGAAATACGATTGGATTACACAGATGAAGTGGTGCAAGAAGAAAGCTACAAATTTTCAAATAAATGCTAAAGCCAAACCCGATAAACCCATTTATTTTCTTGTTATCAACGACAACCAACATGGGAGATACTTATCATTTCCATTTATTCATTTATTTTCTTGTTATCAACAGATAAACACTTAATAATATTTTTGAAGATACTTTCAAAAATATGAAACATGCAAAAAATTTATAGTACTCTTGAAGTATTGTGTACTTAATAGTCCATAGTACTATTTAATTGATACGTGGATTAAATAACGGATACTTATGCCCAAAATTAAATAGCGACCGAAGTATTGAGTTTTATACTCTAGGAGTATTAGAAACTTTCTCGATACCTGTATGCATAACTGTCATGAAAATTTATTGTTACTAATGTTCCTTTTGTAGCCATCACACTATACAAGAGATTAGATGAACGAATCTATTTCAAAATACAAAGCTTGACTAATTGTAAAAGAATTTGCTCTAGAATCTAGAATAGATTATGATTAAACATTCTTTTGTTGCACAAGACCTTACTTGAGTTTTGCTGGAAGCCTTGTGAGCATGTTCCATGGATAAGTATAGCTAAGCTCTTGAAAGAATGGTTGGATTAGGCTATTCAATTTCTTCGATTCAGATTTCAAGCAAAATCGTTGAAACATTTCATATAATATCACAATAATTCACAATAACAGAACATTATTCTTCATTGTAGAGAAAACTCCCAGCGTTGTTCACAGAAGTGCATATGTTACATACAACCTCAGATGATCATCAGAATTAGCATAGTTAAATGAAATGATACATAACATTCAATACCAGTTTTCTTCAGTAACTGTGCAAAAAACGATGTGATGAGAACAATGATGTTTTTATTATAAGACTTTTGTTTCCACCATTTTGCCATTTAGGAGAGTAGGGAGTGGTAAATGAAGACCTCCGTCTAACGATGGAGCTGTAGACTGCTGAGGTGTGGGCTTCTTTCCTTCACTTTCTTCGATTGGCTTTGTATTCTTTTCTTCAGCTTCATCTTTTGGGTTCTTTTCTAGGCCTTCAAGTTTTGGCTTGGACAAGCCAGCTTTTTCCCTGAGTTCTTCAAGCTTCCCCAAGATCTTCCTCCTAGTGTCGGCATTTCTAGTACGTGCTTCAGCATATTCTGGTAAGAGAAGAGAAAGAAAACCTAATGATGCAGCTGCCAAATGCATTATCTCCCTCCTCGAGGTGGCCTTGAAGGTCTCCCGCAATAGTGGTTTTTCTTCCTTGTTCGCTGTCTGCAAGCAATGGAACAATGTTTATATGTCATCCCACCACAAATAGCAATGTTCTCTTCTTTCCCTTATACATATATATGTGTTGAATCACCTTTTCTAGAAGCTTAATCCCTTAGAGAGAACAATGTTATTCATTTAAATCTTGTCTTCAACATGTCCCCATTCCCATGCAAGACCAGATTCAGTTTTTGATCTAAGGGACACGTGTACAAGTTCTATAAATGGGTGGTGGCAATACTTGAACCTTGGACCTATTTCTTTTCTTGCAAATAGTATGAACAAAAAAAGTACCATGAATAAATAATGGGCATACAACTACTACAATATGGCTACAGAAAGCATATTAAGAGAAAACCACAAATGAAAAGTGCAACCACGGAAACAAAATATCAGATTCATAAAAATCAGCCCCTGTTTGGTGAAGATTAAAATCGGATTTTTAGTAGATTTTGATAAAAATTGATGAAATATGTGGTCGAATAGTTGGGTCACATTAAACATGTAGTTAAAATTAATTGTTGATTTTGACTTAGATTTAATCTCTACCAAACAGGGGTTGATGTACTCAAATAATTTCTTCTTGAGCCATTACTCATACTATGAGGCTCCATCATATAGAAACTAGTATACGGTATCTGGATGGAGTAGAAAATCGGTGCTAAATGTTGAATCTGATTAGATGAAGGCCAGGAAAGATCTTGGCTCAGCTGTAAAAAAAATAAAAATAAAAACCAAGAATCAGGCCTTGGTACACTGAGGTCTCAAGTTAAAGAGTCCACAGTCAGTTATTTTTCCACTAGTTTGTAAGTTCAATTGATCTCAATCTATGTCACAATTGAAGAAATTATGAAAAGAACTTTAAAAATGAATTAAAAAGTTGATAAAAACATTTTTGATTGATGATCATATGTGAGCAACTAGCAAAAATTTATTTCTATTTATAATAAAATAAGCTCAATAACTCTCTATACCTAGTGTTTATCCAAAAAATAGAAAACAACTATCAAATAACAAATCAACAACTTTGTATTTATCCTTTGATTTGAATTTGACAATCTTATCACCCCAAAATTTTTTGGTCTCCTTATCACTCATTTGATCCTCATCATTTTTGCTGCCAAGTTGCATGATCTTTCTAACATCATCCCGCAAACTGTGCTGGGGCTGAAGGCACAATTTGGTTCGAAAAAATTGAGCAATGATTTTTATCTTCACTCTTGCGAAGATATGTTACCCGTGTGTATATAAGCATTTCAAATGCTTTCCATACTGCATGGGTTGTGTCTAAGCCTATTGTGATGATTCAACCATAAATGAAAGGACTTTCACCGGGCAATGAGTTCATTTGTTAATTTTGGTGTGAATTTCTTTTTTGTTTTTGTATTGTTTGGATTTGATGTGATGTATTTGGCGAGAACAAGGTATTCGTTGGTGAGATGATCAACATATTCTTGAATTCATTTGTCAATTTTGGTATGAAATTTTATGTTTCTGTTTTGTTTGGATTTGGTGGGATGTATTTGATGGACGAGAATCAATGAGAGATGAGTGTAAAGTAGAAAAAGAGAAGACTTGTGGCGTGTCGATTCACAATGGCTCTGATACTAAGAATAAAATATGAAAACAACTTTAAAAATGAATAAAAAACTTGATTAAAACATTATTGATTGATGACCATAGGCCATAAGTACCCGACACACATTTATTTTTATATATAATAAAACAAATTCAACAACTCTCTATAATTAGTGCTTATCCAAGAAATAGATAACAACCATCAAATAACAAATCAACAACTTTGTATTTATCATTTGGTTTGAATTTGACAATCTTATCACTCCAATATTTTTTGGTCTCCTTATCGCTCATTTGATCCTCATCATTTCTATTGCCGAGTTGTATGATGTTTCTAACAACTTGTATCAATGTAGTAATATAATATTTCAAGAAAGTTAAACAAAGGCATGTATAGGCTGGATTCCGATATATTTTGTTCTTTTTTCATAACAGAATTTTCTGCCCAACTTGAATGTATAGTAAACCAGTAGACTCAAGTGTTTGGTGGAGCCTCAACAGTTAATTTTAATCATATACTTCAAGTGATCCACGACTTTTCAATCACACATTTCAACAATTTTATCAAAATCTACTAAAAATCTAATTTTTAGCCCCACCGGGTCTTAACATGGTGATATGCATACATCTACTAATTTAGCAGCATAAACATTCAAAAAATTTGACAACCACAAATTAAGAAAACTATAATAAGCAGCAGTCCGGCATATGGCAAATGCCCCCCCTTCCCCCAAACACACACCAAATGGGAAAATGAAAAAATAAAGTAAAGAGTAATACTATTCATCCCCACTGGGATGAAAACACAGTCTATGTGGATTCAATGTGGCATTAAATGATAGGTGATTCATTTAACCTATCATTTAAAGACACATAGACTGTGTTTCCATCCCCACTGCGGATGAATAACATTACTCTAAAATAAATGTGGGCAAAATGAGGAACATAGTTCTTGGTGCATCACACCCAATCAATAATTCATTTTTCTATAATAACTTCATCTCTATCAATTTACGCAATAACACTAAGACCAGTGTATTTATGTAAAACATCAAGGCACAATACTGTAAGAAAGAACGTACAAAATATATACTTGAAACGAGGTCAAAGTACAACATTCAATTTTAAAAATGTCATAATTCAGTACATCATAAAGCACGAACTACAAATGTGCCGATCAAGATCGCTAAAAATCAAATTTCAACTTTCCAATAATGGGAAAGTAGTCTACAGCAAGAAACAATATAGGGAAGATTGAGCTGCCGAACCTGAAGAGAAGGAAAAGCTGGATTTTGCACCATTTCGACTATTAAAACTTTTGAGTGGGACCCACATCCTCCAGTCACCGGAGGAAGCCAACAGGATGCTGGTTTTAGGGTGGAAAAAGACATTTTCCCGGCGAGATCAACGGCTCCGATTGGCTAGCTGGTGAACACTCCAAACGAGTCAGTGCCTTCTGAAAATGGGCGATCAAATTTGCACGGTATTAGTTAGGCCCAATAAATGCACGAGAGGAAAATGATTGGAGCCCTGCTTATGTACATAATTTTTTGGGTCTCACTTGTGTGTGTATGAATATCATTATGGTGAAAAAATTATTGGGAAAATTACATAAAACTAGGTATTTAAGTTTTCAAATTCAAAAATCAGATCTAAGATTTATTTAATCAAAAATCAGGTATTAATTGAATTAATAATTAAAACCCTAATTAAACCTAAATTCTACAGCCCGTCTCACTCCTTTCCTCCTCCCCATCTCATTCATCTCCCCCTCCAAACTCACCAGTCTTCTCCTCTCTCTCAATAGTACTGGAGCCGCCCTGGAAGAGAACCGCCTGCACGACGGCGTCACCACTGGGAGTTGACGCTATGAGCAGCTTCTGTGAGTGTCATGGGCAGTGGTGATGGCGCTGCCATGGCGGCTCTCATCTTCACGCACGGTGGCGCTATGTTCACTCGAATCTAAGTTTACTAGCTAGCGATTCTGATCCCAAAATCGCGATGGTGGTGGTTGAGAACGGCGAAGCTGTTGAGAACGGCTTTTGATTTTCGGTCTACCTTCTCTATTTCTCCTCTCTTCGATACCACCGCAATTTTGGTTGTTGTGGTGGTGCAAGCGCCGCGTTTTGGTTGTGGTGGTGTTGCAGGCACCAGGTTTTTTTGTTGTGTTGTGGTGGTGCAGGCGGCGATGGTGGTAGGTTCTGCTGGTGCAGGTGGTGATGGTGTTTTTTGTTGTTGTGGCGGTGACAGTGATTGCGATGGTGTTGTGGCGGGGCGACAGCGTTGGTGGTTTTTTAGGTGGTGTGGTGCAGGAGGCGGCAATAATGGTTGGGGTGGTGTCATGGCAAGGGCGGTGGAGGTGGTTTTTTTGTAGGTGGTGTGATGCAGGCGGCGATGGTGGTGGTCGTTTTTGTTGTTGTTGGCGGTGGTTGTGGATGTGGTTGTGGTAGTTACCAAATATTTAATCTGTGATCTAAAAATTTTGACAATGTGACTAAAAAATAATCTGTGACCAACAAATGTGACT